TTTATCCTCTACCCTAAGGTCGAGTTTTTTGTCCTAATTTTTGAATCCTCTTTTCAGAAATATGACCCAATCTAGCATGCCAAAGTGCAAACGAACTATGATTATCTATTTTTCTTTTATTTTGTTGAATAGTTAGGATGAGACTTTGTGGTGTAATTGTATATAAACCATTTGTCAAATATCGGGAATATATAAAAGTTGTATCTTTGAAAATAGAACAACTTCCATTTTCAATCACAAACTTAAAACCTTCTCTGTCCAATACTGGAATGGAGATAATGTTTCTTATAATATCTGGAACATAAAGACAATTATTTAAACAAATATTTGCACCATTATTTAAAGCTAGATAAACAGTCCCTTTAGCTATGGCAGCAACTTTTGCTCCATTGCCCATCCTTAGAACTGCTTCTTTGTTGTCCAGCTTTTCACTTCTTGCCATTATCTGCAAATCATTACAAATATGTGAGCCACAAACGGTATTTAATACCCAAGAAGAATTGTTAACTGATAAGTTAACTTCAACAAAATAAATACCTGAACTTTTCAGGCTTGCAAGATACTCCTTGCAATTCCTCTTCCAATGCCCAGTTTTGCCACAATGATAACATTAGCCTGAGATTTAACCTTTTCTTTGTTCTTTTCTTTGTTGTTATTTGCCTTCTTGTTAGGTTTATAGGAAACCTTTCATCTTCCCTTCCTTTTCTTAGACTTTAATGTTTTTGATCCAGAAGTAGATCCAACAAGAAGCATCGGCTTATCCTTCTTTATCGTGGATTCAGCCGTTTTTAACATGTTCACCAATTCAGGAAGTGAAGTCTCCATATTGTGCATGTTAAAATTAACAACAAAAGTATCAAATGATGGAGGCAGAGATTGCAGCAAAAGATCCACATAGAGTTCATTATCCATAACGACTCCAAGGGATGTTAGCCTTTCTATTGTAACACCCCTCCTTACTGTAATATCAGAGTAGCGCAAATTCGCAAAGTTATTTAAAATAAAACCTTTTTACTCTGCATAAACTGATTCGGGGTGCTACCTTTAGAAATCATGACTTAACTTAGAAAACCGTTGTTTTAATTTAATAAAAACGTCCGGTTACTGAAATCATGAGTTTCTTAAAAGTTCGTCAAAACCAACAAGCATCGTCAAAAGTCATCAAAATATAAGCGGAAGCGTAAGTCATAATCATATTTATACAATCCAAAATATAAATATCCTGAAAGTCCCGTCACGTTACGTCACGCTCCCGGACCGACATCCTGACCTGAAAAACATAATAAAACTGGGGAGTGAGCACTAAGGCACTGTGCTCCGTGGAAACTCATACTAATGTAAAACATCGTAAATAATAACAATATCATGAACTAAGCATATATAACTGAACTGATATCTGATACCGGTCTGAACTCGCGACATAAGTCACGTAACTGATAACTGAACTCGTGACATAAGCCATGTCGTGACATAAGTCACGTCTGAACTGAACATCTGCCGGCAAAGCCGGACACCATGT